ATTTATGTTTTCCATATGGGCTTGAAGAGGAAGGTTTAAACTTAATTTACATGCAAACGGGGTATTTTTTGCAGACGTAATTTAAGAAATATTAAGGGTTAAAGTTTGAAATAGTCGAATTTCGGGTAGTTGTGATAGAAAAATATCAATTATATGGCACAACTCCCATGCTAAACCGTTATACCGGGTGTCTTTCCTTTTGGAATTTTTGTAGCCTCAACCAGAGGAGTGACGAGGTTTTGACTTATACAAAAGTTATTATGCATAACCTGGGGCACATGTTAACGGCTATTATTAGTGTGGTTAATTATTTATTTATAATTGTTTATAAAAATAAGTTGCAAAATCAAACAATCTTGTAGTAAGTATTTTTTCATTAAGTCGATCGGTTTTTTGAAATGATTTTGATGACGTAGTTAGTAAAATGGTATTGATATAATTTTAATTGTTTATAACAATTGTTTTTGAAAAATATTAATAAGATAATAGTTATTTTAACGTGGTGTTTTTCCATAAATATAAGAGCATGTATTTCTATAATTGTTTTATCTCCGTCTATTTGTTTTCATTTTTATTTTAATTCATTAAGAGTTTATAGGGCTATCCTTGTCTTACTCTCTGTGAATTGGTATTAAACTATCCTTGTCTTTCATGGAGTGAATGTTCAATTTTCAATCTCGTTTATTAATTTAATTAATTTAGATAGAAAATCGGCGTTAACGTTACTGGTGTTTAGGGGTATGAGAGATTCTATTTTTATTATAATAATTAAGTGTCAAAATTTTCGTTCAGAAATGTAATTTTTCAGCTTTAAAATGTATAAAAGACTAAAATATTAATGTAAAAGTGATTTGGTCTTTGTAAGTCTAAAGGGTGGGAAATTCAAAATGGCGGATGTGAAACTTTAATAATTTATAACTCGAGAACGGTAAGAGATAAAAAGATGGGGTTTCTTTTGTTGTGTTCAGATAATTAAGGGCATTATTTTAGGTTGTTTAAAATTTCTGTGTTTTATGGATTTCCATAATTTTTAATTATATCTCGGAATTGAGAAGAGATATAAGGTGGGGGTTTTTGTTAGGTTACTTGACATGCTCTGCTGAGTATCTGCGGTGATTTTATTTATCATCTTTTAATAATATTTTTATGATAAATTTTATTGTTAATTAGTTTATTTTGAGAGATACAATAATGGTTTATAATCAAAAGTTATTTGACTTTTTGTGATAGTTCCAATAATCACATTAACTAGGTCTGTTAATAATATAATTTATTTGTTTATAACAATCATGTTTGAAAAAATGCTAATGAGATAATTATTATTTTAGCGTGATAATGTTTCTCAGGCATAAAAGGTTATGTTCTTATGAATAATCTACCTTTAATTAATTTATTTATATTTTATTTTAATTTTCTGAATTTATTCTTATGGAACATGTGTTTATTCATGTGTTGAATTGAATTTATATTGCATAAAAAATCTCATAAAACTTGTAATATTCATTTACGATCAATTTTAGTGACTCTGGGGAATTTTAACAAGCAATTGTCCAAAAGTTTATAGTGTGATTCATGCAAATGGGGCTTAAGCTTGAAGGGTACCTTAAGGCAGCCATGTTCTCTAGGCTTATGTCTACTACTTTAAGAACGCGTGTTCGGATCAGCTGAGTGTTTGTTGTGACAGTTAATTTAAAGAATGATTGTTATATTATAATGTTGTTTTCAGATGCTGGGGACTTCTAGCAATGAAGGTAGAAAATCAAAAAATTTATGCGGGTGGAATGTAGCGGTGATTATACCGTCAGACGTGACATCTCCCTCCTTAGGGAAGTTCGGTCTCCGAACTTTTATTAGTAAGTATAATTTTGTGGTTATGTCGTATAGAGTATGATTATATTTATAGATAATTAATTATTTATGTGATTTTTATTACAGAATTCTAAAATGTGTTTGGCAGTATAAGAGCTATGTTGTTGCAGTTGGATTTATCTAAATCGAGGTAATAGTTCCATTGATAAAATATTTGTTTAGCAATGTGCTTAAGTAGTTCGATAGATTTGATTAGTAATATATTTTTTCTTCTTCTCTTCTCTCCTTTTTTTTTTATTTATTTTATCGGGTATATACACATGTATATCTGTACTTGCATACATATATAGACGCGCATATTTGTTTTCAGTGTTCATTCCTTATGTTACTTATTAGGATATCTATTAATATAGGTTATTCTTATTTTATTATAGGGCTGGTTATCTATACTGTCACCATGATTTCGTTGGACGGATATGATAAGGATAAATTAAAAGTAAGTTAATGCTATACTTCTATCGTTACTACATTTATTCATATAAGTTTAGTCTCTCCCCTTTTTATTTTTTTTTTTTATTATTTTTGTTTAAATATATTCAAGTATTTGCCGCGTGTTCTTTCCTTAGCTTCGTCTAAATCCAGGCGATAAGCAAGATTACGTAGTCTTTTTACTTCTAGCAGAAGGCTTGTCGTTGACATTTTGCTTAGCTCTGTAAGGATAATTATTTATTGATTATATATAACGGTTTTATCTTATAAGAGTGCAGTAATTAATATATTTCGTTATTGTTATAGGTGAGAAGAGGTAATAGTGAGCTGAGACTGAATTAATAAGGATAAAGGATAAGTATTTCAATCTTATTTTATAATCTTATGAATATATATATATATATATATATGAATAAGAATATTAATGTATTTTCTTTCAATTTTATTTCAGGCAAGGAATAGGTACGAAATTATCCTGGATGGGCTTGTTTTACGAGTGTGAATATGAATACGTTATAATAGTGATCTTACAATTAGTAAAGCATGTAAGTGATTTGCATTTTAAGGTTGACTAAATATATGTGTTTTTCTATTTTTTTATTATATGCGTATGTCAGCGTATTCTTTCCCCTTTTCTATGCATGTATATTAAAGTTAAAATTATTAATGTAGAATTAAGATTACATTCTACTGATTGCTACGATTTAATTTTCAAAGTACTTATTCTAAGGAAATTAAGGTCCTCCACCGTGCTCATGAAGTATAATCATAGGTTAATTGTATAAAATTAATATTTTATTTTGATCCCTTCACCATGTACATAATAAAAATGTTAGTATTAGGTTAATGTTGGTCTTATAGTAAGGTCGCTCGCTAATGTTTATTGTATTATTTTAAGTAGTGCTAACACTAATATAAAGGTGCTAAATAATAAGACAGTTCCCTGTAAGCAGTACACTAAAAAGAAAATCAAGTGGTAATTTATAAAGTTAAATATAAGTATATAACGCAAAATAATCGATAAGCATGTTTAAAAGTATAATATGTAGGTTATATGAGATATAGTAACATTATAACTTGTGCAATTGTATTGTATCGTATGTTGCTTAACGTGTTCCTCGAGGAATAATCGCCTCACATAGAACTTGATAAGTTAAGTGTTCGGTACGTCCGCGTAAATCTATTATAGTGGTGCGGCACTCGTGACAATCAATCGCGCGTTTAGTTTTTATTAATAACTTATAACATCGTCCACAGTGTAGAGTTGTATGGACGAATGTTCGCGAAATAAGGTGTAGCTGTCGCCATACTGCGTTTGGTCTGTTATAAATGCAAAATGTGTGCTCGCTTGTCGCACAATCTGCACACAGCGCGAGTTCGGCCGCGATTTGCGCATACCATGCGGAATGACATATGAAGTCATAAGCCGGTCGTACGAGTGGATCTGAATAATCGCGGTAATAAATCGGTATTGATAGTGGCGGTTGTGTAGGAGGGGGTGGCGAGCCCTGTGGTATGGGAAGCATAGGGCGCTCACCTATTATATGATGTCGGTTTGCAGGTTCACCCAGGTGATCGTATGATCCACATTGTCCTCCCAATGCAAGTGGGCTGCTTAGCGATGTACTCAGGCCGCTCAAAGAATGCAACCCACGGCTGCTGCATGCTTCCGCTCGCGTTGAAGATGCCATTGCCACGTACTCGTGGCTCGTCTGCGTTGCCGGGATGTTGGCGTAACGAGGCGGAGGCCTGGAGACATCAGGCAGTCTGATGGTGCCTGTCACCTCGCTTCCCAGGCTGTCATCGTCGGGAGACTCGCGGTTAATTTCATCGAGCACGTCGTCGATTAAATCCTCCATTCCAGGGGTGAGAGCTGCTTCCACGGATGCTACTGTCATTCGCGGCACCTCGTAGATGGTGTTCGCCGGTGTCGGCGGACGCTGAGGTCTAGTGAAGACCTCAGGATCTGTTGGTCCAGGCCAGTCGCGGTCCATATTGGGATGGACGTCGACGCCAGGAGATCTGGTGTCGCGCTCTGGTGGTCCTCGCTGCATTGGAATTGGCGACCGCCGATACGACTGCGCTGCGCTGAGGTCCATAGGAACGTTTTCGTCAATTCCCGGCATGGTTAAAATAATCCGGCGGAGTCGTCCCAATATCCTGTGCCAACGTTTATAATGATTGGTAGAATAGCTGCTCCTTCTCATCCTGTGAAGTGAGCACAAACCAAAGACTAAATTTTGGTACGAAGTCATGTGGTTTGGTCACTTACGAATTATTGCTGTACGTCTTCAAGTCGTCAGTGTGCCTCTGCTTCCTGTGCTTCTTCTTGTAGATTATACTGGATCGTTGCCGTTCTTAAGTCAGACTGTTCGGATTCGGGCTCGGTACTTCGGCTTTTATTCTCTACTGAGGAGCAAGGGGTAGGTCCCTTGGTTCCTTTGTTACGGTTGCATCGTGCATAAAGTAAATTCGCAGTACTGCTGATCCAAGAAGTCCTGCTTATCATCCAGACGATGACCACAAGTATTCCGAGAACACTCATGCCCCATCCTACTGCACTGTAGGTGATAAGTCTTTGTTCTTGCATCCGTCTATCCTTGATCTGGCGAGCCTTTTCAATGATGTCATCAAAAGTCGTTGATACGTGGCTATTATTCATCGTCCATAATTCGCTTGTCGCTTCTGCCAGGTCGATTTGATATTTTTCGCGGATAGGCTCGTACAATTGTAAAATGCTTAGATTGTTCATTGGAGTATAATGCTGTACGAATTCTATAGAATGAACGGATGGATGGCTCATCGTAGTAGTCCCTGCTTTAATTTTACATCCTTGGCGTATGGAAATAATGCCAGAATTACTTATTTCTTCCTGGTTGCTTTGTTGGCATTCTATACGAATTATTTCTCGTTTTCTTGCAGTATATATCCAATTTCCGGGCGTAGTTAAGGCTTTCCAGTATGTTTCTCGTAGGTTTTGTAATACTATGTTGCAATATTCCATTTCTATATTCTTATTTAGTAAGAGTTGAATATTACAACTTGTCGCTTGCCGTATCTTTTTCAAAGGAAATATAGCTGGGCAGATAAATACGGTGCTGGACGATATACATTCTCGCAGTTCCCCTTCTCGGAACTCGTAGAAGCTATCGGTGTCCTCGCTTATTCCAATATGTTCTGCGTCAGATTTAATTATTGCGAATTTTGTTTCGTCAAATGCTTGTTTAGCAGGTAATGGTACGGCTCTATACATTTTATATATTCCAGGAATCAATAATGGAATATGCAGAATATAAATCAATCGATTTCCGGAATAGGCAATTCGTAAGTTGGATATTTTTATAAGTTGATCCATTCCGATTTCGTCAGTACTTACCGGAAATTCTGCATGAGGATTCTGTTCTTTTATTAACTTACAATTTTCTATTAATTGTTGCGGTGAAATTAAACGGGGGTGGATGAATCCCTGCTTTCCGAATAATATTCCATCGATCAGAATATTTAAATCTATTTCATGTTGTAATATTTCCGTATCCAGTTTTGTCATAACTTCCCAAAAATATCGATGCCTTTGATTTAACATCGCTTTAATTTCTATTGCGCTAAGCTGCTTTCTTATCTCCCATGTGGCGTTGTACAGTTCCCCGAAACGCGCTCGCGTTGCTACAGTTTGATTCACGAGCAGCAGAGCGAGATCGTTAGTTTTATTCTCTACATGCATTATTGCATTACGCATGGCATATTCGTCTTCGATGGTTAAAGTTCCGAATAATATCTTGCTAAGTTGTCCAACAAATTCCAAGGGAGCTCGTTTTGTGCGGGATTCTCCTATGAGTGCGCGTATATGATCTTGATACTGCTTTATCTTATTCAATTTGGCAATTAATGAAGTCAATCGTGGTCGTATTTCACAATGTGAATTGTGATCACCACATTGTTGTAATATCGAGTCCATTTGCTGTTCGAGTTTGGCCGTTGCACCTTTAATATCGCGCAAGTCGATGTAGATTATCATCTTCCAAGAATTTTCGGACGTACGCATTTCTCCAACGGCTTCGAAAAATATTCCAGGATTATCTTTTAAACCAGTAATTGTGTATTCTTTTTCCTTCATCCCTGATCTGCAATCCGAGCAGGTTTAGTTCGGTCTACATGTACGATTTTAATTTTATTTGGTGGAATTAATATTTTAATATTATTATTTTCTAGGATTTCCACAATTTCATACGGTCCTGTATATTCATCATCGAACTTGTTTTTCTTTTTAGGTTTTAATAAATATATAAAATTTCCTACTTTATACGTTTGTGTTTTTAATTTCTTATCATAATAGTGTTTATAACGTGTTTTGGCTAACCCTAAATTTGACACAGCTAGTTTTCTTAGATCAGTTAATTTATCAATAAGTTCGCTCACATAATCGTCATACGTTTCTACCGGATTTTCTGTCTTTATTTCAGATGGCAATCGTGCGGCTTTGCCGAATACTAATTCATACGGTGTAAATTTTGTTCCCTCATGTACGCTAGTATTATATGAAAACATAGCATGCTCGAGCCAATTATCCCAATCATGTTCATCAGTTATGTAATGCTTCAAATATTCGGTCAATACATGATGGCTTCTTTCTAACGAGCCATTGGATTGAGGATGGAAAGCAGTTGTGCAATATTGTTTTATTTTAAAATATTTTGCAAATTTCTTCATCATTGAACTAGTAAAATTTGAACCTTGATCCGTCAAAATTGCTTTGGGACTTCCAAATTGACAAATAAATCTACGCGTGAATGCTTTTGCTATTTCCTCTGAGTTCGCTTGCACAAGAGGTACGGCAACTGAATATTTTGTTAATTGATCCTGAATTGTTAAAATATATTCATTACCATTATCAGTAATAGGCAAAGGCCCTAATATATCCATAGCAACTTTATCAAATGCGTCTACAGGAGTGTCGGTTATAATCATCGGTTGTTTAGTCTTTACGCGTACTAATTTTTTCTTTTGGCAACTACTACAGGTTTGAATAAATTTTTCAACTTGACTTTTCATATTTTCCCAAAAATATTTATGACGTATCCGCGCCACTGTTTTTGCGATTCCTTTATGTCCTCCGACACTGGATTCGTGGGACTCACGTATGATACGCGGTCTATCCTTGAGCTCGGGTATGCACACTTGGCCCTTACATACAGTAATTTGAATGTCTGTATTTAAAAATGTAAGTCTTATAATGCATCGTATTCTGAACCATGGTATTTTTATATCGCTATTGTTTTCAGATATGCTCGCATGTGAAATATTTAAACGCATCATTTCGTTTTTTAATTCTCTAAATCCCTGCGCTACATGTTTTTCTTGAATTTGATCATTTAATTCTTCTTTAATTATTATTCCAAAATTTTTCTTGTTGTTCTTTTCTGATATTAACACATGTCCTATTATTCCTTTAAAATTCTTCGGCTTCTGGCATATTTTTCTATCAATTAATTCTTTCCCTATTTCATCTATCGGATCTCCCTTTGTATTTATAAAGTATATTATATTATCATTCCTCATCCATATGTGATCTCGGGAGTCTATAATGTTAACAGAAGTAACTTCCATTTCTCTTATTCTTGGTCTCTGTAATTCTCTCGGTGGTGTTCGTTCCTTTAAGTTAGATTTTTTATTTGTTTTCTTACTTAATTTTTTGTTTGAGAATTTTTTATTTACTGGTCGTTTATTAGAAGTTGTGGCTTTTGTTTTCGCAGAACTTTTATTACTTATTTGTAAAGGTTTAGGAACTGCTTTATACGAAGGAGGTGAAAATATTCTATTTGTATTACTTTCGTCTGTCGAATCATCGCTCGGCGTTTTTTGTTCACGGTATCCTAATGGTTTTTTATTTATTTCATAATCCATTTCATTATCAGTATCTACTTCCATTGTTTTTAATTCTTGTTTATTTAATGGTATATTTTCTTCTATTATTTCAATAGCGTCAATGTCATCTGGCAATTTTGGTAAATTTTTGTCAATTTTTACTTTTGATTTTGGTATTATTTGCATATGCGAAGGTGGTGCATGAACGTCAGCCTGTATTTCAATATTAGTGCGGTTTTGATGGCTGTCGCTAGACTGTGATGTTATTTCCATAGCCTCATCTTCAGATTCCTCTTGTTGTTTATGCATTTCTTTTTTATTATAAAATTTTTTATCATCGATTCGTTTTTTCGGGACACCCGTTGTGTGGCTTTCGCTCGGCCTCTTGCGTGAAGCGCGTGCGTCGTCGGGAGCGGTTGCTTCCTGCAGCGGCTCATAGGCGGCGTCGTCATCGCTAAGACGCTCTTGCGGGCCGCGCCCTTCAGCTTCATCCACATGCAACATTGCGTCTTTACTGTCATCATGGGATTCGTCAAGTTTCTTTGGACTGGAATCTTTACGGTGTTTCTTTGTTCTCTTATGCTTTCGCTTTCTGCGTCTTACGTGGGTAGAAGAGCTACTCTCATGTTTCCTTTTTTCACCTTTTTGACATATTTCTGAATCGTCGGTATCATAGTCGGTTTCATAATAATATGAAACTGTTCCACTGTCACTGCTACTGTCTAAAGCTTTTAAAAATTTACTTCTAGGTGATATTTCTTCTTCACTATCTGAATCTATATAAGGAGATGATTCATCAGGTCTGTTCTTTTTATGCGGTGCTGGATTTCCTGATCCTTCACTTTCCATTGCTCTTTTAAAACTCGGATGAAATGTTTTTTGTTTTTTATGTTCTTGCCCTACTGAGGCTTCACTTGAAGATGATAATGCTCGTTTTGCATTCAAAGGATATACATGTTTAATTTCTCCGATAGGATTCCTGGACAAAGCGTCAGCATTTTTATTTATTTTTCCTGGTTTGTATTTTATTTGATAATCGTATTCCGCTAATTTTAGTCTCCACCTCATTAATCGTGACGTAGGATCAGATACTGAATTTAACCATTCTAATGGTTTATGATCCATTACTAATGTAAATTTACGTCCATAAACATAAGGTCGAAAATGTTTTACAGCATAAATTAAAGCTAATAATTCTCTTTCTGTAGGCGAATATCTTGTTTCTGCGTCATTTAAAACTCTTGATGCATAAGCTATGGGTAGATCGCTTCCTATTTTGCCTTGACTTAATATTGCACCAATGGCGTATCCTGATGCGTCAGTAGTTATAATAAATGGTTCATTAAAATTAGGATATTGCAAAATTGGTTCTGAGCACAAGGCGTGTCTCAATTTATCAAATGCTTCTTGCTGTTCTTGTTTCCATTCAAATGCAATAGATTGTTTCGTTAAATCTGACAGAGGTTTAGCGATTTTAGAAAAGTTTTTTATGAATCTTCGGTAATATCCTGCAAGACCGAGAAATTGCTTAATATTCTTTCGTGTTTTTGGCATTGGAAATTCTTTTACAGCATTTACCTTCTTGGGATCGGGTCGTACACCATTTTCAGTTATTACATGTCCAAGATAAGCAACTTCTTTCTTTAAAAATTCACATTTATCAGGTTGTAAGGATAAATTTGCTTCTTCTAGTCGTTTCATTAATCGTTGGAATTTAATCTCATGTTCCTGAAGTGATTTAGCGTATATTACGATATCATCGAGATATACGAATAATTCAATTCCTTGTAAGCCTGTTAATACCTGATCCATTAATCTCTGAAAAGTAGCAGGAGCGTTCTTTAGTCCAAACGGCATACGGTTATATTCAAAATGTCCGTACGGTGTTGAAAACGCAGTCTTATGCTTGTCAGTCTTGTCCATTAATATCTGGTGAAATCCAGAAGCTAGATCAAATACTGAAAAATATTTCGCACTACCAAGTTGATCGAGTATATCGACAATATTTGGTAGTGGATATGCATCACCGATCGTTTTCTCATTAAGCGCTCGAAAATCTATTACGAGACGCCATTTTTTATTGCCTTTAGAATCATCCTTTTTTGGTACAATCCACAAAGGAGAATTATAAGGCGAGCTCGACGGCTCTATCACACCTTTTTCCAACATTTCGTCAACCTGTCGTTGTATTTCTTCTTTATGTACTTGAGGATATCGATATTGCTTGACGTTGATTGGTCTATCGTCAGTGGTGAATATTCGGTGCTTTGTTACGCTAGTTGCGCCTAGCGATTCTCCTGGCAAATGAAATCGTTCCGCATAATTTGTTACTAGCCTAGTGACACTAGTTTTTTCTTCCGCATTTAAATGATCGAGACGTAGTAGCTGTATTATTTGATTAACTCGTGTTTTATTGTCCTTTGAGTCTTCTTCTGCGTCATTTGCGTCCATTTCTTCGTTATTTAGCTCTTTGAATGGATATATTTTTACAGTCGGTATTGCTAATTCTACGTCTTCGTCCGATGAGTTAATAACATATAGATGTGCTATCCCATCACGATTCGAGACTACGGCGTTACCTAAGTACACCTGCAATCCGGCATCTAATTTTGGAATATATCCGATTTTTATTTCAGGATTTGCTACATGAACAAATATTTGTTTTCGCGTTCTAGCGGGAATAGTGACGATTTCGTCGTTATGGAAATAGTACGATACTCCGTTCACAACCAGACAAGCCCTCGGGTAGTCTATAGTTGCCTTTTGATTTTTGAAGAATTCCGTGCCTAGTATTCCATCTGACTTAATTGGAAAATTATTAGGAACTACATGAAACCATGCATCAGCATCGAGAATGCGTAATTTAGCTACGCCTATCGTGCGTGTTCGTCCTTTAGTTATTCCACTAAGCTCGAATACTATTTTCTTATCAATGGGCACATTCTCATGGAGCGAATTCTCTTTTATCAAATTTATGTCGGATCCCGTATCTATCATAAAGCTAGCGCGTTCGTCGAGAAGATTTTTACTTGGCAGAACGACAGAAGGTGGTTTCCCGATCTTATTACAGATTTTTACACTTGCGTTTCCTCTTGAGGTTCCTCCGGGTTGACCAGGCGCACTCGCGGGCGTTCGTTCAGCGCTGCGCCTACTCGCTGAGCCCGATCTCGGTTTCCCGAATTCTCTTGGGCTCTGTCGCGTCGTACGTTTTCAGAAATTCTATTTTCTCTATTGAAATATTGATTTCCTTGATTCCGCAGATTATTATTATATTGTCTCTTTCGACATTGTTCGAGACTGTGGCCAGGAATCTTGCAGTATCGGCAAATTAAACCAGCGTTTCGCGGATTAGCTAAATTTAGACGATTAAAACGATTATTATTATTAAAATTCATATTTCGCGTGGCATTATTTATCAAAGGATTTCGAACATTATTTAATAAGGAATTTCGGTTCAAAATTCGCGGTTGTAAGGCTTTGCATTCCGCTCGTACATGTCCAGAATTTTTACAATACGAACATACTTTTGGTTGCCATTGCACATGAGATATTTGTGCAAGAGGATTAATAGTGCTGCATGAATAAGTATCATGACCATATCCAAGACAATTATTGCATCGAATTGATTGTATAAGTCCTTCCGTTATTCTTATACGTTGCGCGTGTTCCTGATACTCTGTTTCAGCTTTTATTGCGGATTCTATCGCGGTATTCAAAGTAATTGCGTCTCGTGGATACATTCTTGTATAAATGTCTGTTTTTAAACCAGTTAGAAAATTTCTTACAGCATTGCTTTCAGCAGAATTTAAAAATTGTATTGCCTGATTCGGATTTTCAGTTTGATAACAAGATTTTAATTGTTGCAGGATCATTGATACTCGGCTACCGTAATCGACTACTGATTCGTCGGGATGTTGAGTTACTTTAGCAAGTTCCCCGTGCAATTGTGATGAAGAATAAACTGGTGCAAATCTAGTTCTTAAGACTGCTAACAAAGATTCTATATCATTATATTCTCCACTTAATGCCACCCTCAATGCAGGTCCGACTAACTTATTTTTTATCATTTGAACAAGTCCATATTCCGCGGTAGGAGAAATCATATTTTTAGCGTGCATGCAACTATTAGCAAACTGTAGGACGGGCATATTTTTTCCATCAAACGGGAGAATTGTCTCGGCTGCATCTCGCAAACTTATATACGGCGCATTAGCTCTACGATTCGCGTCGGTTGCGTTAATATTCATGTCGCCTATCTGTCTAGTTAAATCATTTATTCCGTCTGTAGCCATTTTTATTTATTATAATTACTTATTCGTTAAAAAGAAATGTAAAAGTTCGTAATATTGGCATGTTCACGTTCGTAATATTGGTAAGTGCGAACTTACATGTATCGTATGATAATGAAAAGAAGAATGATAGTTATGCGCGACTCCATGAAGCCTTGTCCACACGCTCGCAGCCTTATCCCTGCAGCTTCTCTCCGGAAAAGATCCTCTTCTCGTTAAGGTAGAGACAGGATGTTGTAGAATGAATACAGCAATCGGCTTCTTCTTCCGCTACTGGCTCACTCGGCTTCCAGAGAATTGAAGTGTTGTCCCAAGGGATGCTTTCCAGATGTCCAATCCTTTCAGCTTCCCAGTCGGGATCGCCTTTTTTGGCAATCCCACCGCTGTCACCAAAAATTTCAACTTGTGACGTCCTGGGTGATGCGAGGTGGCTTCGATCCGACAGAACGTCTCCGTTGACGGGTTCTTTTTCTTGCAGTTAAGGAGGTAAAACCCCAGGATAATTAGCTGTTGGTCGGCGATGTAGATTATGGCTCCTTGGATCCGTCGAAGGTAGGTAATTCAATAATCTTCAATAATCTTTATCTTTCTTTTGATATAAAATTGTATGATATTTATTGTAGAACTTTTACGATACAAGTGGTTTATGTGGGAGGATGGAACAAGTATAAGATATGTGACCTTTCCTGGCTCGTTCCACACTCTCCGTCGAGAGAATCTCCGTAGATCTCCGTCGAGAGGGTGAAAGATTCTGCTTTTATACAATTTTGGAAACGGTAGTGGGAGGTGACCACACCTTGTTACAATGAGTCATAAGGCGTTGCCTAGCGGATGTGAGTCTACTTCTAGGGGTGTGGCTCGCTTGCCAGCACCTTGTTACAATGAGTCATAAGGCGTTGTCTAGCGGATGTGAGTCTACTTCTAAGGATGTGGCTCGCTTGCCAGCAATGAGTCATAGGGTTGTGGCTTGCAATTCATTACTTTATATGGTTATGCGTGGCGTTCTGCTTCGACGAAGACTAGATTCACTCGAATGAGTCATACAGGTGACTCGTCTGAATTCTATTTTTATTCTCTAGTCTAACGGCGATTTGTATTGAGAGCGATACTTCTTTTCATTATTAAATTTCATTATGACTTTTATCATGAAGAAAATATTTAATATTTGAATAGTAAAAAGTGCAAATATATGCTGAATATTATTTAAATTTCTTTAGACATACTTTACATACAGTAGAATAATTTAATAATACAATTCAAGTCATTATTAGCATGTCTAAAGTGTAAGAGATATTGCTCTCTTTGTCTAATAGTTAATATGGTATATCTGACTCTCTCTTTCTTCCTTTCAGATCATACAATACTCGCATCTCGCTCGGATTCGTGTTCCTTATGCTGCGCATAATACAATTTTATCTTTCTCGAATTCGTGAGTAACGGTTCGGCGCTTGACATTCGATATTTATATTAATTTTAGTAAGTATATATATATTTGTTAATAGTAATATTAATAAAAGTGATGTTAGCGGTGTTAATAATGATTCTAATATCAGGTTAATAATATATCGTGCAGATAGAAATGGTCAGCATTCTCATTAGTACAGGAAATTAATTTGTTTATACATATATATATGATAAGATTTTTATTATTTTTATATCTCGCAAATGGTTGGGAATTTGATGGGAGTGTATAGGAAACATATTACAGAATTTTCACTAAAATATAATATAGCATTGGAAAATTTTATTGTTAATATATGTATTTGTTATTAACAATTTATTAATTAAATAAATTGGTACTCTTTAATTCGCGTATTGATATTATTATGTTCTCTTTGTTTAAGAGGTTTTGAATTTCTAATATTATCTCGTATATGAACATTCGTTATTTTATTGTTATAAATATTTCGTAAATAAACAATTGCAGAAATAAAAGTTATTATTATTTTTCGTAGGTGTACTAATGCAGAGTTTATGTATGCAGTTTAAATTTGTATTTACCAGAACGAATTTTATGTTCATATATATATTATTGGTAAGTATGGATTGTAATGCAAACGGAGGTATATATTTTGTTAATTAATTAGGTGTAGCGGTTGATTAAGAATTATGGTTTATATATTAATTTTAATGGGAAATGTTCAGGTTATCAATGTATACAAAAAAGGAAATTTTTGCGATTGTGGTTTATGAGATATTATAATATTAATTCCCATGACCTGGGAACCACCTAAGGACATAGTATATATATGTTTGTCACGGGGTAGGTTCCGGGTCTTTTGCGTTATACCGGGTGGTTTTTCCTTTAGATTTTCGTGTAGCTTTCATTAGAAAAGTGACATGGTTTAAGCTTATATAAAAATTGTTATACGTGATCCGAGGTATAAGTTAAAAATATTTAATGACATGGTTAATAATTTGTTTATGATTGTTTATAAAAGTAAATTGCAAAAATAAATAATTATGTAGTAAATGTTTTTCGATTCTAACGATTATTCCGTATACACGTATATATTGTTCTTACTTCAAATTATTCGTTTTCTATTTTATTTTAATTTATTAAGAATTTATTATGGCTATCCTTGTCTTACACCTTGTGAACTGGTATTAAACTATCCTCGTTTTTCATGGAGTGAATGTTCAATTTAAATCTCATTTATTAATTTAATTAATTTAAATAGAAAATCGGCGTTAACGCTACTGGTGTTTAGGAGTATGAGAGATTCCATTTTTATCATAATAATTAAGTGTCAAAATTTTTGTTTGGAAATGAAATTTTTCAGCTTTAAAATGTATAAAAGACTAAAATATTAATGTAAAAGTGATTTGGTCTTTGTAAGTCTAAATGGTAGGAAATTCAAAATGGCGGATGTGAAACTTTAATAATTTATAACTCGAGAACGGTAAGAGATAAAAAGATGGGGTTTCTTTTGTTGTGTTCAGATAATTAAAGACATTATTTTAGGTTGTTTAAAATTTCTGTGTTTTATGGATTTCCATAATTTTCAATTATATCTTGGAACTAAGAAGAGATATAATGTGGGGGTTTTTGTTAGGTTACTTGACATGCTCTGCTGAGTATCTGCGGTGATTTTATTTATCATCTTTAATAATATTTTTATGATAAATTTTATTGTTAATTAGTTTATTTTGAGAAATACAATAATGGTTTATAATCAAAAGTTATTTGACTTTTTGTGATAGTTCTAGTAATCACACTAACTAGGTCTGTTAATAATATAATTTAATTGTTTATAACAATCATGTTTGAAAAAATGTTAATGAGATAATTGTTATTTTATCGTGATAATGTTCCTTAGGCATAAAAGGTTATGTTCTTATGAATAATCTACTTTTAATTAATTTATTTATATTTTATTTTAATTTTCTGAGTTTATTTTTATGGAACATGTATTTATTCGTGTGTTGAATTGAATTTGTATTGCATAAAAGATCTCATAAAGTTTGTAATATTTATTTACGATTAATTTTAGTGACTCTGGGGAATTTTAACAAGCAATTGTCCAAAAGTTTATAGTGTGATTCATGAAAATGGGGCTTAAGCTTGAAAGGGTACCTTAAGGCAGCCATGTTCTCTAGGCTTATGTCTACTGCTTTAAGAACGCGTGTTCGGATCAGCTGAGTGTTTGTTGTGACAGTTAATTTAAAGAATGATTGTTATATTATAATGTTGTTTTCAGATGCTGTGGACTTCTAGCAATGAAGATGGAAAATCGAAAAATTTATGCGGATAGAATATAGCGGTGATTATACCGTCAGACGTGACACCCCCTATTTTCCTTTTGAGTTACCTCACTTGAACTAATCGCGTTAT